CTCTCATACATCTCTCTCTCTCTCTCTCTCTCTCTCTCTCTCTCTCTCTCTCTCTCTCTCTCTCTCTCTCTCTCTCTCTCTCTCTCTCTCTCTCTCTTCTCTTCCTCTCTCTCTGTTCCCCCTTTCCTCTCTCCTCTCTCTCTATCTCCGTCTCTCGCCCTCTCTCTTCTTGCTTCCCTTCTTCCCCTCTCCCGCGCCTCCTTCCCCTCGTCCATTCCCCTCACAGACCCTACCGAACTCCTCTCCATTTGTCTCATTTCCCTCATTAGTCCCCCCTCGCTACGCCCACTTAACCCCCCCTCCCCCTCTCTCTCCCGCAGGAGGAGGAGCTGCGTGCCTCGGGCGACCCCAAGTACGTGCACCTGACGGAAGACCTTCACGTGGAGATCACCGCCTTCGCGTCCCCGGCGGAGGCCCACGCCCGCATCGCCTACGCCCTGGCGGAGGTGCGCCGCTACCTCGTTCCCGACAACAACGACGACATCCGCAAGGAGCAGATAAGAGAGATGGAGCTGATAAGCGACCCACAGGCGGCCGGGGGAGCCACGGCAACCAGCGGAGGAGGAGGTGGAGGAGGGGGCGGCGCAGGGGACAGACCGCCGCCCGCGCTCACGCCGCCAGGTAGGATGGGGAGGAGGAGGGGGGAGGGAGTGCGCCAGGGGGAGGGTACTTAAGAGGGTAAGTGGGGGAGGAAGGGAAAGACAGAGAGAGAGAGATGGAGAGAGAGACTGAGAGAGAGAGAGAGAGAGATAACAAGAGAGAAAAAGAGAGTGAGAGATAACAAGAGAGAAAGAGAGAGAGAGAGATAACAAGAGAGAAAGAAAGAGACAAACAGTCTGAAAAACAAAGAGAGAGAAAGACAATGAAAAAAAGGATGATAAACAAGTTGTATGGAAAAAAGAAACAGAAAAAAGAAAGAAAAAAAAGGACTCACAGCAAACGTCAAGGAGGTTTCTTAAGGTCCTTGAAGTTATGTGTTTTTTTGTGCTTTACGCTTTTATCTGCATACTTCACTCCTTGTCTACGTTCCCTATTCTCCATTTAGCGTTTTCCCTTCTGCTTCTCCTTATTACTCTCATTTTTCTCCTTCTGCTTCATTCATTAATCCGTCGGTCTTTACGGATAGTTTTACTCTCATCATAAAAAAAGGAAAGTAGAAAAGGAATATTGATGATGATGGTGATGATCATAATAGTGATAATAATAACAGCAATTATGATAATGATCATGATTATGACTGGGAAAGAAGATGAAGGGGAATAATGATGATGATGATGATAATGGTAAAATGGTAGTAATAACAATGATTATGATGATTGTGGTGCTAATGATAATGATAATGATAGTGATAATAATAAACATTACAAAGATAATAATAATAATGATAATAATAAGGATAATAATAATAACGATAATAATAATAATGATAATGATAATAATAATAATAATAATAATAATAATAATAATAAAAATAATAATAATGATAACGATGAATATATAATTGCTAGTAATAATGAAATAAAGATAATAATGATAGAAATAATGATAATAATAATGATAATAATGATATTAATGATGATAATAATGACATTGACAATTATGATTATAGTAACGATAGTAATGAAAATGATAATGACAATAAAAACATTGAAAAAATAAATAATGATGATGATGATAACAATAATAAATATAATAATGATAAAAAAATAACAACAATAATAACAATGATGATAATGATAATAATGATAAAAGTAGTAGGAATAATAATAATAATAACAATAATGATAATAATAGTAATAATGATAATAATAATGATAATAATAATAATAATAATAATAATATTAATAATAATAATAATAATAATAATAATAATAATAATAATTATAATAATAATAATAATGATAATAATTATAATAATAACAATAGTATATCGTAATTAAAACATCGTTTTCCTGTAGAATATAATACATCTCATGATCTTCCAAGGGCACGCGAAGAAACTACTTTGAAATTTAAATGAAACGTGTCAGCAAGAATTAGCCTCAAAACTTTAAAAACTTTTTTTGACTAAAACTCCAGAGTATGGAGTGAGAACATGCATTAGACGACGTTATGATAATGCTGTCACTCTTTGGCAAAAGGTGAATGTGGAACAATATATATATATATATATATATATATATATATATATATATATATATATATATATATATATATATATATATATATAAACACACTTGAATGGGAAAACACTCTTCCCAGTTGATGATGTGGTAGAAAAAGCCACAATGCACAAACTAGATTTATTGAAAATCCAACTGGATTCCATCTTCACGTCTGAAGAGGAAATGGAGAGGACGAGGTATAAAAGAGAGAGAGGAAAGGCATCGCGTTTTTCTACCATATATATATATATATATATATATATATATATATATATATATATATATATATATATATATATATATATATATATATATATATATATATATATATATACATATATATATATATATATATATATATATATATATATATATATATATATATATATATATATATATATATATATATATATATATATATATATATACATATATATATATCGTGTGTGTATATATAATTATAATAATAATAAAAAAAAAAATAATAATAATGATAATAATAAGAATGATAATGATGATAATAATAATAATTGTATAAGGATAATAATGATAATAATAATGATAATATATTCATAGATAGATAGATAGATAGATAGATTTAAGATGAAGAAGAAATTTTTTTATTCGAATTTTATTTGACTGATATTGTATCTGTAAATGATGGACGCAATTCATGGGTACTGATCCTGTTGCACAATCCAAATCATTAATTATGCCTATTATATAACACAGATGACAGGAAAAGGATTCTTATTTAGTCTTTATTTCATCCAAGATCCTCTATCTTCATCGGAACTCACGAACTCCTTCCCTCATATTTTATTTCATTCTACAAAAACAACAGAAAGTTTGTGGTTCTGTTGCAACAGTCTTGGGAATCAAGTCCAGCCGAAATTAGATTAAACAGCTGACTTTATCCGTGGCGAAGACGCTTTTATTCGTCGTGAGCGAGTTTGCTGAAACGACGGGAATCCTATGTTCCTTTGGGGGTTTAAGGTTTAAAGTTCTGTTTCTTTCTCTCTTTTTCTCCTTTCTTTCTTTTTTTTTTCTGTGTTTTCTGTTTTTTTTATAGCATTCTTGTTTTGTTTTTTTCGTTTACTTCTCTTATCTCGTATTTTTTGTTTCTACTCTCTCGTTCCCTGTCTGTCTGTCTGTATGTATGTATGTTTGTCTCTGTCTCTGTCTCTGTTTGTCTGTCTGTTTCTCTTTCTCTCTCTCTCTCTCTCTCTCTCTCTCTCTCTCCCCCTCTCTCTCTCTCTCTCTCTTTCTATCTACCTATCTATCTCTCTCTCTCTCTCTCTCTCTCTTCACTTTTCTCTTATTCCCATTCTCTGCCAGTTTCTGTTTCTACCCATCTCCCTTTTTTCTTACTCCGCCTTCCAACCCACACTATATTTTCCATTCTCCTTTACTTTTCCTTTTATTTCATCCTTTCTTCTTTCCTCCTTTTTTTCCAGTTTCCAATCCCCCCCCCCCCCCCCGCACCTCCGCCTCCTTCCATGGATGGTGGATGTTAGGGTACAGTCCCGTTGTCATCAAATTTAAAGTTTCCTCAAAAGGTTTTCAAAGGGGATTTATATCCTGACTCTTAGTTGACACAGCGAGGATACCGTACCGTGTTTTCTTGGCAGAGGGTTTCGAATCCATGTGGTTGTTTTTCTTTGTGTTTCTAAGTTTGTTGTTTGGGTGTATTTGGGGCATTCGGGACGCTTGGCTGGCCGTCTGCTTGTCTCTGTCTCCGTCTCTGTCTTTATCTGTGTCTGCCTGTCTCTCTGTGTGGCTGTCTGACTCTCTCTCTCTTTTCCCCCCTCTGTCTGTCTGTCTGTCTATCTGTCTGTCTGTCTCTCTCTCTCTCTCTCTCTCTCTCTCTCTCTCTCTCTCTCTCTCTCTCTCTCTCTCTCTCTCTCTCTCTCTCTCTCTCTCTCTCTCTCTCCCTCTCTCTCTCTCCTCTCTCTCTCTCTCTCTCTCTCTCTCTCTCTCTCTCTCTCTCTCTCTCTCTCTCTCTCTCTCTCTCTCTCTCTCTCTCTCTCTCTCTCTCTCTCTTCCCAATTTCTATCGTAAGATTATTAGTGTCGAGAGCACTAATTGCAAGACGAAACGAACCAGTAGCAATTCTACTAGTAATGCTAGATTTATTGTTGTTTTTATGCTGCTGATTTACTGTTACTGTTACTGTGTACATCTATAAAGTAAAAATGACAAAGAACAAAATATGATGAGGCGTGGGACGAAGAGCAACAGTAAGTAAAAAAAGAAAAAAAAAAAATATTGATAAGTTTCCAAAAATCAATAAACTTTTTCTTTAAAGGTGAAATCAAAGGGGAGGGCTTGTTTTGAAGAAGCCTTAATTAAAATAGATTTTTTAAAAACCCTGTAATCCGAAAAAAAAATATATCACCCCCGACCTTATTAAGTCGAATCGCCCCCTTTGAACTCGGGGAAGTTGGCAAGAAGCGAACTTCGAGATAAAGAACTCCGCCTGGACTAAATGCATAAGCCATTTATGTTGCCTTCGACAAACAAAGTCTCAAAAGACAACACAACATTAGAGGAGGAATTTGCAAAGGGATTCGCCAAGAGGAAGAGAGAGAAAGGGAGAGAGAGAGAGAAGGAGAGAGAGAGAGAGAGAGAGAGAGAGAGAGAGAGAGAGAGAGAGAGAGAGAGAGAGAGAGAGAGAGAGAGAGAGAGAGAGAGAGAGTAGTTAGAGAGAGAGAGAAAGAGAGAGAGTTAGAGAGAGAGAGAGAGAGAGAGTTAGAGAGAGAGAGAGAGAGAGAGTTAGAGAGAGAGAGAAAGACAGGCAGACAGACAGTAGATGGATTGACAGGTAAATAGATAGATAGATAGAGAGAGAGTTAGATAGATAAAGAGAGAGTTAGATAGATAGAGATAGAGAGAGAGAAAGAGAGAAAGAGAAAGGCAGACAGACAGACAAACAAACAAACCAAACCGAAAGACAGAAACAATAACAAAAGAGGGAGAAAAGATGAGGAGAAATACAAATTCTGAAGTTCATTTTTTTTTTCTTCTTTTTACTTTTCTTCGCACAACAACAAAATGGTAAGGAAAAAGTAGAAAGAGGTTGTGGGATGTGATGGACCAGTATTAAATGGCTTGACCTCTTTTAGCTTCCGCGAAGAAAAGGGTTTCTTTTACTCTGAGATGGAGAACTTTAGACTTAATCTCTCTTCTTGTTCTTCTTTTACGAGGAAACAAACTTTTTTGTGCATCTAGAGAGAGAGAGGGAAGAGAGAGAGGGGGAGAGAGAGAGGGAGAGAGAGAGAGAGAGAGAGAGAGAGAGAGAGAGAGAGAGAGAGAGAGAGAGAGAGAGACATAGACATAGACAGAGAGAGACAGAGACAGACAGAGACAGAAATAGAGAGTGAGAGACAAGGAGATCAAGACGGAGACAGAAAAATAGACAATGACACAGACACTCAGTCAAGCGTTATCAGACAAAGAGCCTAAGAAGAACAATACGAAATAAGGAACTGGCGTTACCATTATTCACTATCCGTAAACACTTAAACCATTCTCTGGCTAACAAGACACATGTCCGAAAAGGGAGAAAGTCTTTTAGGACACGTATGACCAAGGACGCCCCTAATGATGAGTATTTTTGAAACCTCGATTTTTTTTTTTTTTTTTGTCCCATTTTCCTTCCTACCTTTGCATCTCTCTCGCTTTATCCTTCTGGATTTCAGCCTCTCTCTCTCTCTCTCTCTCTCTCTCTCTCTCTCTCCCTCTCTCTCTCTCTCTCTCTCTCTCTCACTCTGTCGATCTATCTATCTATCTATCTATCTATCGATCCATCTATCTATCTATCGATCCATCTATCTATCTATCGGGATTACCACGTCCATCCTCTCTCTACAGCTCTTCTTTGTACTCTTTCCTTTCCCTTTCTCTGTTTCTCTTCCTTTTGCCATCCTCCTACATCCCACCTTCTCATCCTACTTTTTTCGTCTTCTCTCCCTCCTTCCCTCTCCTTCTCCCTGTCCCTTCCTCTCTCGCCTTCCCTCTATTCCTTGTCCTCTCTCCCCATCATCCTCTCGTTTCCCCTCACTCCTTCACCCTTTCCTCCCGTCTCTTATTTTCTCCGCTTTTCCTTCCCTCCATTATTTTTCTTCCCTCTTCTCCATTTTTCTCCTTCCACCTCAGCTCGGCGATCGCTGAAGAATTTGCAAAAGAATTCAAGAATATTGATTATGGACGCGTTACACTCTTCTTTTTCAGGGGAAAAATTTCTCGTATTTTACTTGGAGTACCAGTTGAGGAGACACAGAGAGAGACAGGGAGTGAAAGAGAGAAAGAGGGAGAGAGAGAGAGACACAGAGAGAGAGAGAGAAGGGGAGAGAGAGAGAGAGAGAGAGAGAGAGAGAGAGAGAGAGAGAGAGAGAGAGAGAGAGAGAGAGAGAGAGATACAGAGAGAGAGAGGAGAGAGAGAGAGAGAGAGAGAGAGAGAGAGAGAGAGAGAGAGAGAGAGAAAGAAAGAGAGATAGAAAGAGAAAGAGAGAGAGAGAGGGTGGGGGGGCAGACAGACAAACAGACAGACAGATAGATTGACAAACAAACAAACAAATTCAGCCTAACAGACGAAAAAAAAAAAAAAAAAAGACAAAAACAAGATAATAAATATCAACTTAAAAAAACAGTTAAATAACTCGACCTAAGTAAAAAAAAAAAAAAAAAAAAAATAATAATAATAATCAATCAACTCGTGAATGATTTCGTAATTTTCTTTTCCTTAGATTGCTTTTATCGGCAACACGAGCCTGGCCCCCCCAAACAGCCCTTTTCTCCAGGGCGGGCTTCCGAGTGCCTTTCCCTAAGACAAGCTAAGAGGAGAAGAGGTTCGAATGAGACCCTCTTTTTTGTTGTAGTCTAATTGCTTTCCTCGGTGTTTTTGTCCTGTCTTTGTTATTGGCTTATTGGGCGTTGGCAGTGTTGTGTAGGTGAGCAGATGTGAGAGGAGAGATGAGGAAGGAAAATGTGTATGTGTATATATATATATATATATATATATATATATATATATATATATATATATATATATATATATATATATATATATATATATATATATATATATATATATATATATATATATATATATATATATATATATATATATATATATATATATATGTATATATATATATATATATATATATATATATATATATATATATATATATATATATATATATATATATATATATATATATATATATATATATATATATATATACATATATATATATATATATATATATATATATATATATATATATATATATATATATATATATATATATATATATATGTATATATATACATGTATATATATATATATATATATATATATATATATATATATATATATATATATATATATATATATATATATATATATACATATATATATATATATATATATATATATATATATATATATATATATATATATGTATATATATATATATATATATATATATATATATATATATATATATATATATATATATATATATATGTATGTATATATATGTATGTGTGTGTGTGTGTATAATATATATATATATATATATATATATATATATATATATATATATATATATATATATATATATATATATATATGTGTGTGTGTGTGTGTGTGTGTGTGTGTGTGTATGTATGTATATATATATGTATATATATATATATATATATATATATATATATATATATATATATATATATATATATATATATAACACACATACACACATGTGTGTGTACTTGTATGTGTGTGTGTGTGTGTGTGTTTGTAAACGTCTGTTTGTGGCGGGGGATAACCTCTTTGATGTCTGTAATAATAACCATAATCATGAGGATAATGATAATGACAATATTAATAATAAAGATACTGCTCGTAATAATTAAAATTTGTAACGAAGATCATAATACCAACAAGATTAATTACAAACCACAAAGACAATATAATTCTGATTTAAAATGTTTCTCTTCACATGATAAACATCCTTCAGTGAATTAGAAATGAATAAGCGCAGAGAACTTCGTTTCGGTGAACGTTAGAGCTTAACGACAGGATTAAGGAACGGTCACAGGAAATTATTTAAGGACGATTACCCAGCGGTCTTCTGTTACGTTTTTCACCGTTTTCCTTACGTCTTCCTTTCTTTGTTGTTTTTCATGTTCCTTTTTTTTTTTTTGTTTTTGTTTTTGTTTTTGTTTTCTGTTTTTTTTTTAGTAGGATATGACGTCTATGGGTTTTGTTTTGTACTTTGAGGTTGTTAAACGATGGAAATATATATCCTTTTATTAAGGGGAAAAAAATTGAAAAGAAATTCATTATCTTGCTTTATATATTCTGGTTCAGGAGAAGCAGAAAAAAAAATTATATATGAAGAGGAATCCATTATCTTCCTTGGTTAGAGAAAGGGATGGATGAATTATTCAGTCGACGTCAGGTGAAAATGGTCATTCGTTTTTTTGTTTTGTTTTGTTTTGTGTTGTTTTTATTTATTTGTTTCCTGCTTTCGGATTGTGCTAGAACGTCGCTGTCGCTGAGGCCTTGAAAATCATTCTTTCGTAGCGTGGATAGGATGTATGTTGCAACCTGCTCTTTGGATCAGCTTCTTAGCTATATGTTTTTTTTTTTTTATCCGCGTGTTGACTGTTTACCTTTTTGGTGTTATCGAACTACATTCTAATTCTTTTTCTTTTTTCTTTAAGGATTAGTATCTCCACAGGTTTTCGGGAGCCAGGTTAGATGATAGCACTTCTTGCTTCGGGAGCTTCGAGTGGCTTTTTTGGAGGACGGCCCTCAAGATATGTCCCCTTTTCAGGCTCCCTTATTCAGGTTCCTCTGCCCTGGACCCCCTGCGTAGGATATCCTGGTCACGGCTTCAGACACTGACCCTACCTCCCCTACTGTCCACAGAGCTGATGTCGCCCGACGGACCCGAGTGCAGGGGCGCTGTGGTCGGACCCGCCCCCCCAGGCCCTCCTCTCCCTCCAGGGCTCCGCGGGCGTGCGCCTCCGCCCCATCCACGCCTCATGCCCGCCCATCCCGCCCGTGCTCTGCCCCCGCTGGTGAGGAAGCTGCCTGCCTCCCTGCCCCCTCCCGTGCCGCCGCCCCCTGCCAAGCGCCGCGTCCTCTCCATCTTGGACAAGGCCAAGCTCGCCCTCGACCACAGCTACGGCCTGCACGAGGACGACCCGCGCCACTACCCGTTCGAGGCGCCAGAGTAAGTCCGCCGGGCGTGTGGGTGTGCAAGGGAGTGCACGCGGTTAGGGGATATATCCACATCTGCTTGATTGTGTTTAGCTATCCATCTATCGATCTATCTTTCTATCTATCTATCTATCTATATCTGGTGTATTCATGAGCGTGCGCGCATGTGTGTATCTGTGTACGTGAGTCTGTGTGTGTGTTTGTGTGCGTGAGTCTGTGTGTGTGTTTGTGTGCGTGAATGTATCTTTGTGTGTCTGTGTATGTGTGCATCCAATACATACTGATATATGAGTATGGTTTCTTTGTTCAATCAATCTTAATGTGGCTACACTTATTCGTAAGGTTCATCTGCATATCTAGTGAACTGTTCTGGGACATAATCCCCTTGATATGCAAAACCGGAGCTTGATTTCAAAAAGTCATATAAAAGCCAAATTTGTGTGGAAGTAGTTAAGAAGAGAGATCGACAGATAGATAGTAGATAGCTAACAGCAGATAGATAGTAGATAGTGAATAGCAGATAGATAGACTGAGAGACAGAAAAGCGAAAAAAGTAGATGGATAGACGGATAAATAGATAGATAGATAGAGATAG